ACACACATTGGTGGTTCAATTTTGTACCTTTGCTGATGTAAATCGTTTGATAAAAGAAGAGAATTATAGCTAAGCTATTTTGAACAGCAACTCATATACGTTTTCTGCAGAAACATATATTCTTCCAGCTCCTTCTTTCATCTCCTTCCCTCTTCTCCCTAAAATCCAAATCAACACCTAATATTCCAACATAATCTATATATATTTTTTATATATGCTTTGGCTTTGTGGTTCTACTCAAGGTTTTGTTAGAATATCAACCTCAACCCACAAACATATTAATTAGCCCAAGAAGAGTAAAAGCTCAGCTCATAGAAATAATAATGCACAAATAAAACTAGAACAATCTAGAATGCTCAAGTGAAGTCCAGCAAAGTAAGCAACAACCGCCTAACAATTCCTATAACCTACAAGATATATTCAAAGTCGGTTGAACATGTGGTTGGGATCTTTTGTCAAGGTCGGTTAGCCGACTTACATAAGTCGGTTACTACCTCTATAAATAGGCATGAAGCTTATCAATGTAACCAACCAATCAAGAAGTGAAGTTTGTTAACAAGAAGAGTGAGTTATAGAGCTAAGTAGTTCTTGTGAGAAGTGTGAGTGAAGTGAGAAAGAGTCATTGTAAGAATTTGTCTTTCCTTTTGAGAGTTGTCTCGTTGTAATAATTTGTGAGTCGAATACAAGTAAATTGTTTACTTGTTTTGTCTCCAACAAGTCTACATATCAAAGTTGTGTACTCTAATTTTCTCAACATGTTTGAGTGTTGAATTGTTACGTTGGAATGGGATGCTAATAAATGTAGTTAGAGAAGCCTTCATTTATATCAAAGTCCTCAAACTATCAAGAAATAAGTATCCAGAAACATAACAAGACGCAAAACAACATATTTTCTATGCTCTGTCTGTAACACCAAAGCAAACTTCCATTATCACATCATTTAAAGGATCAAATTCCAGTACTAATCTAATCCATCATGTAAAGCATACAATCTACAAGTGCCTCCCGAAATTTGTTCATTGGATATACATGTCAGTTTTTGAATTGCATTAAAGT